CCCGCTTCTTTTCTTTTACTGCATATTCCCTCACTCGCTTCGCTAAAATGACACTCTCTTTCTTGAAACTCCTCCGACTCTTTCACTTCTTCCTTATCAGATGTTTCTTCGTTCTCACCTGACTATTATCCGCCTCCTCTTCATTCTCATTCTCCTCTCCACTCTCCATATTCGTTGTGCCTAGAATCTTTTCATGCTCTGTCGAACTGACACCCTCTGCAGCAACTCTCTTTTCTCTCATTGTTGACTCGAAAACTATTTGCATTCCTGGACCAGTGCATTCCATATGCACGACTCCATTCCCCCTTTCTTTCTCGTGTGCATTTTGTTCCCTTGTATATTCGTTGTTGTCGTGCGCCTGTGTACTGGTGACAGTCGTATGTTGTGTTGCATGTGACTGCTTGGCCCTACTGCACTAATGCCTTCTGATGAATCTGATGGTTTGAGTGTTGGTTGCGATGCGCTCAATGATCGCTCAACAAACTCATCACTGTTTGTACTATATATCCTAAGACGCCCGTCCTTGTCTGCCACATTATCGCCACTAGCTCCTGCTGCTGCTGAATCGATCTTCACCCTTCTACTCGTGTGTCCGTCAATGCCTTGACTGCATCCTACACGTATTTTGTTGTTGTACATACAGTCCATTGCACGATAGTCCACAGACCATATGGCACCTTCGTATGACAGACTCAATTTTTTGTCGTAGAACACAGCGCAATACTCGAGAAGGTGATGTTCCCACAGGAATTCGAATAATGAGTGCACTTTCTTTGTTCGCCTGCCTCACACGGTTAAACAAGTTCATAAAATCTGCTCCTAATGACTCTTTCCTGAACACCCATTTCCACTCATTCGGATAGCGATGTGCCATCTGCTATCAATCACACATGGCTCGAAAAAAACCGGATGCCATATGATGTGATGTGCCCACTCGTGATCATATGACTCTTTGCACTTCGTGTCCAAAAAGTGAAGTCCTTCTTATATCTCCTTCATATCATATGATATATTATCACCCGGTCCAAGTTTTCTGGGGGCGTCATCCGGGATGTCAAAGAGGGGATTATCCTCTATGTCCATCCCATTTGGTTCGTCCACAGATTCCTTGTCTGCATGCGAAATATTTTGAGCCTCGCATCCCATCTGGATCGTCCACAAATTTCTTATATGTCGTTCCTTCTATGTCATTGCGAACTTTCCTCACCAGCAAAACATATCGTAAGGTGGTTTCCTTCAGGTCGCACTTAGATGTGTTGCCTTCCATTGCACCACCTTTGTTTGATGTTGTCCCACGCATCACATTCTCGGTCCTTGTACTTGCGATCATGCCATCGACATCTTCCTCCATCGCTTGTTGACCATCCAAAACGGACAGTGAAGGCGTTTCCTCTCTCACTGCATTGTGATGGAAATCCAGCAATAGGAGGTCAATCTCGTTATCCTCTGTTTCCTCCTCACTATCCATAATGTCAAGCTGCTCTCCAACATCCATTACCTCGCAGTATACCTCGACATCAATTTTATCTCGCTTCTTTTCAAACCATAGGTGTTTACATCGCCCAGAAATATCTCAATTGCACCGTGTTTGACAATGTGATATCCTTGCAGATGCTGGATTACTATCACCTTACGATGCAGATAATCCGCATATGTTGGCGTTGCGGGTGCATTGCAGAACAGATACCTCCATAGAGAGTCTCTCTTCTTGCCCAACTTCAGGAACATGTTTCGGTCCACACGATGTTGAGGTTTCGGTCTTTCGAAGTGACACCTGCTATCCGAATTGTGGACGTGACGATCGATAAACAAAGAAAAGTACTTCATCATGCTCGACGAACCATCGCATGTGAGGACATGGCGTCATGAGCGAAGCAAGTCCCACATTATTCCCACTTGCACCTTTCCCAATAACAAGAAACCTTCCCCTTCCTTCGAAAACCAGGTAAAAAAGTCTTTCATATTTCTCGGTTCCCTCTCCCATATCTCGTATATGGGTTTGCTATCGCCTCGCCTTTTTTGTACATCGTACAAATAACTCCTCCACATAATGCATGTTGCAGAGAATGTTCCCATGAGGCTTTGCGACCGTGACCTTTTTCAAATCGTTGTCTGTATCGTGTTGCACTAAGGTCATGGAGTCGTGCCCTCTCAACGGAAGGTTTCCAACTTGGGTGCAGGATGATGCCGCTTCGCTATTACGGCGCCAGCGCCCTGGAAGAACTCTCACACCCTCCCACCTGAACACGTTCCTCATGACCGTTTCCTCACCTTTCAATGCACTGAACATGATTAGCGCCCAATGTGTCTGACACAACACCGTCATCATTTGGTGGAGCTCGTGAAACCTTTGCTCATTTCATGCGTCGAGATTCTTCAACGGAGCCAAGTCCAACACTACAAGGTGACGGCTCAACTTCCTTACAGCACGAGTCAAATCTTCTATTGGGTGCAATACGTCTATAGGTGCGATGCATACAGGAAGATACTTCGTGTGATCTTTGCGCTTATCCCACACTATGTGTTGAGCATTTTAGCTGATCCGTCGCAACTCATCCCTCAATTGATCGACTGCGCCAAGAATTTCATGCACAAAAAGTTTGAGGAAGAACGGACACTCCCATATATATGACAGTCGTCATCTTCTGCCCCCAGACATTCCCTTTTCCTATCTTCGCCTTATCCACGCCGCCTAATGGTTTTGGGACGTTGATTTGTCTTATCTGTTGGAATGTTCAACTTTCATTCTTCTCATTTCTCCCTCGCCAACCCTCGTGGTGCAAACCTCCTCATTATGGTATCGTAGCCAATGAAGAACATGTTATTCCACTCATCCTTCGACATCTATTCTATCTTGAACAGGACCTACGTAGCACCGTGTTCGCGTTCGGAGGCGAACGCGAACAAGCGCCTAAAACCTTCCGAACGCGAACATTAAAAAAAAAAAACGTCTTCAGAAAAACTTGAAAAAAAAATATATTGTGTAAAAAAACAATACAAGCAACTTTTGCCTTGAAGTCATATTCAAAATAATCAATCATGAGTTAAATATAAAAAACCGAAAAACAAAAAATTACGAAAAAAAAAAATGTTCGCTCGAACATGTTCGTGAGCTGTTTGCGCGAACGAGCGAACGTGAAGGGGCGAGAACACGTTCGTCGTGCTACGCAGAACAGGACATACTTAAACATGCGCACCATATATCTTTCCCTTCTCACTTCCACGTGCAGGTCTTGCATATTCATCAATTTTTTAATGGTCTTCCAATCGTGATGACAACGTGTCCCGCATGTATTTTTTCGAGGGTCATCTCCTTCTCCCTTGGCATGAAATTGCCGAACACCTTCCATGCACCTGCTGGGGGAGAAACCCGACGAACTTTTTGTTGGAGTGGACATAATGCACTAACACTTTTTTATCTTTCACGGTCTTCGCAACAGGGCCCGGTCCTGCCGCCTTGCTTGCTTTCCCTTCCTGATTCACTAGTATGACGTCGTCCGGCCCTAGCAGTTCCCCTTTCTCCCATTTGTCAAAAAAAATTTCAACCAGATTCCACACCACCTTACTGCTCGCCGAGGGACATATGTAGGGCCTTAACAAGTTTGATAAATTCCTCACAAATCGTTTCGTCAACGTCTGGTTCCAGAGCGTGATGTAAGGAGTCATCTGTATAACTTTTCGTACGAACTCCTGATATTGGTCACGTTGTGAAGTCCTTTCATCCACCGCCTTCGCCGAATGCCAATCACCTATCGACTCTTTCATATTTTGCCACAGTCCTCTTATAGCAGTCACAGACATTCGAAACGACGATGAGATAAGACATGTCTCCCTCGTGTTGCAAATGTGAAGATGTATGCATACCCCTCCAAATGGTCGTCGTCAAAATACACAACCCGCGCCTTCCAAGAGTGCATGCCCTACTTCTGGGTAGCATGCAATCTAGCAACGACCGACCTCTTTGCTGCCTCCGCTGTATGTTGGCCGACCACAGTGTACCAATGGTAGGAGGCAACCTTGTTATCATCCCACTCCCTCGACTTCACACGCTCCCACTAGTTCCGACCTTCCTTCTCCACCGATACGACTAAAGCAAGAATCCACGTGTTTCTGTCCCACTCCTTCTGCTTTTCCGAGTGTTCCATTGTGTCCCTGATGGAGGTGACCAGTATCTCGTTCAACGGTCTGTGGTTGTATTGCACGCCTTTCGAAGGGTTGAGAAATATGTTGACGACGTCAACAAAAATTTGGGTAGGCCGATCTATCGCATTGTCGTCCGAGTCGTATTCAAAAAGAAAATATTTTGTGATGTCGATAGTGTCGTTGGTCAACTCTCCTGGCTTCGGTGTTGTATGTCGTGGGTCCCCACCTCTTCGTCCCCAGAGTCCATCACTTCCTTTGGTCTCTGGGAAGATCGAGGGCGTTCACCCTTTTCCTTTGCTGGTTTCGCGGATTGGGTCTCTAAGGATTTCTTGTAAGCCTCCTTTGAGGCCTGCAGGCTGATGAGCTTAGCTTGTCCCCGCTTCTCCTCCTCTGTTCTCCAAACTTTTATTTTTTTCTTGCGCATGCACACAGACCTTTGTGTGCCATGCAACGCATTGTCATCTTTTGTCAGGCCGTGATCGCTTGTGGCTAGGGAATACGCTTCCCGCCTTTTCTATGACCCAAAATTCCTACCATCGTTGTCGTTCACCCCACCCTCATCTCCTTCGCTCCTGCCTTCGTAGTTGTCTTCTCGTTCTTCAGCGTCCTCGTCACTTGCATCCTCATCCTCTTCTTCTTCACTCCCATCACCATCGTGAGCACCATCTTTTTTGCCTTCACTACCATTGCCTTCGGCCCAACCATCCTCTAAGTTTTCCTCTTCATCTTCTGCACCGTCGCAGAACCGCTATTCGTCGTCGTCGCCCTCTATGTCTTTCGCGTCGTTGCCCTCAGCCCACCACTCACAGTCCCACTGTCGGAAGCGCGGGTACTCATCTGTCTTCTCGTCGTCATCCTCATGGTCAGTGGCCCCAACAATTGGATACAAAGAAACGCGAGCAATATATTCAACATCTTATTGTGCCTGTTTTGCAGATACACCCTTTCACTGGAGTGAAGCAATGACCTTTCTCACGCTCTTTGCCTGTGTCGATGTGGCCTCGCTTTTGCTCATTTGGACGGATGTTTTCAGCTCCTCACAACTCTTGCCTACCGCCTTTAGCGAGCAGACAAAGACGGTAGCCCACAAAGTGGGTTGGCCCATCGTCTGCAGCTTGTGACATCGCACTATGTCTGTGAAGTCTTGAAGATCACGATCGAACGACACGAAGGGAGTTGACAACTGCAGCATGTTGTCAATCGTCACAATGCAGTTCGACACTTTATAGCAATTAACGTGTTTTAGGAACTCAAACGGCCTTAGCATCACCATATGCGATGCATCCTTCTTCTTTGACTTGTCGAACGGTGGCATTAACGCTGCGCGGATGCCGTAACCTTGGAACTTCTCGACGTGGAGCGACACGAGCTTGTAGTTGTCAGGCACCTCATGACCATCGATGTCGAAACATGTTGTGAGATGAAATCTCATGTACTCCTCGTCACGCATGTTCTTATCAAATGCGTAAGTGTTGATACCCCCACATGGGTAGTAACTGCCACTCTCATCTTGCAAGAAAACGATTGGCCCATAGTAGGGGACTTTCATACCGAGGTGCCAATCGATTGCCCAATACTTCTCTTGGAACGTGATGACCCTTCCGACAACCTTCGGCGTAGAGACCCCTAATGAGCAAGCAGCCGCAGAACACCGCACCCCACACCGGCGTAATACACGGAACAAACATACGGTAAGGAGAAGAGGGGGGGGGGGGGGGAAGAGGCCTCAAGGACCAGTGACAACAGCATGCTGCCAACCTTCATTAGTACTGGAACATCTAACCGACGTTCGAACTGGGTGGTGCCTTATCGGCCATTACATAAAGCATAGTCTGCAATACGCGCACCAGACGCGCACAAGACGTCTACAAGCACAGACATGGGGAAGGTGTAAGTTGACAAATCATCTGACCAACCCAACCTGCATATTCCCCTAAAGGGAAAGGGTCGTTCCCAGCAAGCGATGTCAAGTTCTCAGCACTAGCACAGGAAAATCACAATGGCAGCAGGTAAATAGGAAATCACTTGCTGCCACCCCAACATCCCTACCACCCTAACGGGAAAGGGTCGTTCCCATCGCCCCATGCCCAGACCCCCGATCATGTATCTAACCACCCCAATGTCCCCATTCCCTCAACGGGAAAAGGTTGCTCCCACCAAGCGATGGCCAGTCCACAGCACAGGCATAGGAAATGGTCGCTCACATTGTGCGACATTCGTGACGCCTCAACAACGCAGGACCATCAGATCGTTCAGCGCCCTCGACTCCTCGAGCTATGAATCCCCTGTGGTCATGACCACAGGGTCAAACTCGACTTGCAACCGAGATCCCGACCTCAGGCTATGGCCCCTGCGGTTGGGTGCGGCTGAGGATTTCATATATTGTTTAAAAAAAAAACTAATGGACAAAAAAACAATAAAAATATATGGGGTTGTAGGGTTTGAAGATACCTACAACCCTATATTTTCAGTTTTGGATTATAAAGTGTTTTTTATTTAAAAAAATAGAAAAAAAAAGTATTTTAATCAAAAGAAACGTAATAAAAAAGGAAAATTTTTATTTTTCATGTGTGTGTGTGCGTGTGCGGGGGGCAAGGGCGACCCCTTCCCCACGAATCATTCAATCAATCAAAAAAAAAAAAGTAAAAAAAATGAAACAGCGGGTTCGACCCACACGCGCGTGTGTGTGTGTGTGTGTGTGTGTGTGT